CAATATTTCTGAAGATAAAACTGAAAATCCAATTTGCCCTTCAACTAGCAACAGCACACTGCTTGGATGGATGGCTTAAGAGACTGATCAACCATTATACCAAGATCCCTTTCTTTCATGACACTGTTAAGTTATTCCATCCAAATTATACTTAAATTCAAATTATGGTAAAATATGTATTATCTTGCATATATTATCATTAAAACCCAAGACCTTAATATCATCTGCAAATTTAAGTAATTTATTGACCATTCCTTCATCTATGTCATTGATCTAAATCAAAAGTAGCTTTCTGAAAATCCAGATACACCAAATCTACACCCTTACCATTATCTATATAAGCAGTAACCTTTTCAAAGAATGTCAGAATATTTGTAAGGCAAGATTTTCCCTTAGTGAAAACATGTTGACTATCCAATAAAATTCTAAACTTTGTTAAATGGCTTTGTAAAACATCATTTATTAGACTTTCCAAAACATTTCCCATGACTGATGAGAGAATAATGAGCCTATAATTTATGGGACAATTTTTATCACCTTCCTTGAATAGAGGAGTTACTGGTATCTGCCCACTGTTCAAGGACTTGCAAAAAATAGTAGCAAGTGGCTCACATATCCAATCCTTAACTCCTTCAAAACCCTTGGGGAAGTATCTGGCTTGGGAGCTTTATCAGTTTTTTAAACTTTCCAATTTTTTCTTAATAAGCTGAGGATTAATGCAGTCATATTATCCAATCTTCTTTCCATTTATCAATGTTTTGTCTCTTCATATATATTGAAATATTTGTTTTTTTAACCTGTTTACTCCTTTTGTTGTCCAATGCAACAAACTGAATATATATAAGTTCTACAGTAGTGTACCTAGTATTGTTACATTTTTATAATTTATATACAGTATATACATACATAAATGCAAACAAAGATTACATAGGCCTGCGATGGTAATTCCTGGATGCTGAATCTGAAAATGATATCCATTTTTCTCCATCATGTACAGATTTTTCACAAAATGACATTTACTTTTATATAAGTGAATAATTTTCATTGAAATCAGTCACATTTTGTTATGCTTAAAATGTAGACAACCCCTGACTATAGATTTCTCTAGACCAATCATGACATGAGTGTCTTATCGATTGTTCTAGAACCCAAGAGAAACACACTGCTAGTATATAAACAGTTAACAGGCCCCATAACATGTCATTTCTGGATAGTTTTTGTTTGTAGGTGCACTTGGACGTTATTTTTTCTTTTCAATACTATTTATTCATTGCTATTGCAACAGGAAGTTGTGTAAATGACCCAAACATATTCTGTTATACTTGTGGTAAATTTGTTATAAAGAAAC